ATGATTTTTTTTTTGGGGAATATCGACAACCGGTCAATGGCGTAATTGCGACTAGCCGTTGTGGGTCCCGCTTTGTCCCCACTATCTTGTGACAATTAAAAAAGAAAAGTAGTGAATCGATAGGCTATTCTCATCAAGATTATCGGGTCGCGCGACTCTCACAATTTCTGTCGCGCGCCTCTATTTCTCTCGAGCGTGATTTTATAAGTCTGAGCACGATTTTAAAGTAAAACGCCCGATGTTGACTACCTTCGTCGATCGAATGAAGGTCAATAGCCCTGCATCGCTCGTCTCCAGCTGCAGGTTCTCCCCTCCATAAATAGAACTCATTTGCCATCGGAGGCTCTCTACGAGTCAGTGCTCATGGATCTTGAATTCGGAAAACAGAGTTTCTTATCAGATGTGGATCTGGGAAAGGCCGGCCCCTCAAATCTAAACTTCCATTCCCCTCGTAAGTGTCTTTCATTGAAGTTTTTCTTTCTATTTTTTTTGAGCGAAGAGAATGTTCAAAATTGAAAATTACTATCACTCCAGAGCTCCTTACTTTTGGTTCTCTACCTTGTGTGGTATTTGGGTCCTCATAGTTAGACATTTTGTTTGCTTCTTTTTTCCTTTTTTAGCAATCGAAAATTATCATATATTAAATTGCATAACAAAAGCATAACATCCCACGTAGGTTCTTCTAATAAACATGAAACGGAATAGATGAGCAAATAAAGACAAAATAGAAATAGCTGGTAACACCGCTGCAGCTCAATCAAGAAGATGGGGCCTCTCCTAACCTTCCGGAGTTGCACATCTTCTTCTACACAATAGCTATCCAGCAGCATTTGCATCTCATGCCTTGAAAAGCAAAGGCCAAGCTACTCCTTAAAATTACGAACTCCATTACAGCAATCTCTAAAGCATCCAGGCTCTGAAGTGAAGAAGTTCTGCCAGCTACAACAGAAAAACCCTTCAATCCATGACCTAGGGGAGATTACTCCCCAGAGTTTCACACCAAAAAGTGGCAAACCTAATAACTTCGCAAGTAAAACCAGCCACACAGACATCAACAAGAACTGAACACACACACACACATATATTTTGTGTAAATTTCCACTTTGACGCAGAGCAATATACTTTCGATCTTTAGTAAAAAGATGACACAAAAACAAGAGAATATGGAGAGGATCAAAGCAAACCATTTTCGGATATATCCTCTCAACTTCAAAACCACTAAAACCGTTATCCAAATACACTCAGCATCCTTGAATAAACCATACTTCGGCAAACCATCATCAAACATATTAGCATTCCTAACAGCTACTATAAACTTTCCATTCTTGATTTCCAATTACTATAAGATAAGCTGAGAGTAACGGAACAACAACATCCATGGTACTCATAGTCATAGTAACCTCAGAATCCTTTCTCGGATAATACACTACCATTCTCCCAAAATACTATAATTATAAGAGACTTAGGATTACCCAAGAAATTACCATGAAAAACACCCCTAAAACTCCAAAGCATGGAAGAAATTTCTGAATGAAGAGAGACAGACTAAGAATATCATGTTGGAACCCGCAATTAACTATAAGGATCATAATCTCGGCAATTATAAACACTAAATCCCATTTAAAGATGTTCCTCACACTTGGCCAAGTGGTTTGCCACTTGGCTGAGTTAGTGGGAATATCATTCTAGGTGAATGTTTGACTCGATCCCTTTCCCAATCCCTCCTTATTAGTAGGTATGAATGTAATTTGTTCAAAAAAAAAAAAATTCCATTCAAAGGTAACGAATACAAAAATCCAAAACAAGATGGTAGAGACTATATTTAAAGGAAGGGTTTCCTGGAAACAACAATGCCTGCAGAATTAAGGTGTCCAACCAGATCTGCAAAATGGGTGCTAAAAACCCATCTCCAAATCTGTAAAAAGGATGCATCTGGACCGCGCGACTCCTACAATTTGTATGGTGCGCTTCTATATCGCTCGCAAGATGCGAGTCTTCGCGTGATTTAAAGTCAACAGCCCGATCTTGAATACCTTTCTCAGTCGAGTGAAGATCAATCGTTCTGCATCGTTCTTCTCGACTCCACCTGGTTTTCCCCTCCATAAATCTACGGATCTGCGAGTGCATCGGAGGCTCTCTACGAGTCAGTGCTCACGGATGGCTTTGAAAAATCTGGTTTCTATTCATATGTAGAGTTGGGGAAGGCCGCTCCATCAAATCCCAACTTCCATGCCCTCTGTTAAGTGTTTTTTAATTAGCAAAGATAATGTTAAAATTGACAATTAAGATCACTCAAGATCCTCCTCACTTATCGTTCCCCACCTTGTATGGTATTCGAGTCCGCACGCGTGTGCTCCGGAGCCAGTCCGGTTTATCCCCGTACATAAATCAGTTGCTTGTATTTGTTCCTTGTTAGTGCTAAATATAGTTCTCAATCATCTGGACGGATGGACGCACACAAAAAAGAAATGAACAAATTACTGAGCTAAGAAATAGCTCAATTTGAGTGAAAAATACTAATTTTATGGATCTCCTATTGTTGATTTTGTTTGTATTCTAAAATTATGAACTTTTTGCAGCTCCTTTGTGGGATGAGTGCTTAACTTTTGATTCAGTGTCGAATTCAACCATAACTACTAGTGACGTCAAGGCTTTCAAGAAAAGGCTAAATGACAGAAAATACAGAGAAAAATTGAAGGTAGTTAGTGCTATCTCTATTATATGGAATTCTGATTGTCATTTAATTTTTGTCTGCATTTCTGGTGCTGTGATATGTACTCTGTATTTGACATCTTTGCTTTCATCTTTTCAGTTAGACAAAATGAGAATGAAAACCGACATGGAATCACTTGATGAGGAGAATGAGAATTTGAAGAAAGAGAATGAAAGGTTGAAACGTGTGCATGATTCGATGAATGGAACTTTGCAAATGCAAGCAGAATTGATAGATCGGTTGAAGGGTGATCTTGACAAATTGAATGACGAGTATAAGAAGCAAAATGTCCTTGTGCAAAGACTGTCAGAACTATTAGTAAGCGCCTTGAAAGTACCTTATTTCTTAATTTTGTGATACCTATGTATATTCAGTCTCATTTAAAATATTGGTCATGTAAATTGGGTATTTGAGTTTCAAGACAAGGCTTGCGTTTAAGTTAAAACCAATTAGATATATCATGTGAAAATTGTGTGCATGTGGGCGTAAACACATGACTTACATCCAAGCTAAAACTAATTGACAATAGGTGAAATAGCCCTCTTCGTATTTAAGTCACACATGTTTTTTATCATACTTGGATGTGAGATTTTACCATTTAACACGTAAGCATGATATGAACTTCAAGTCCTATCATGCAACCTAGTAAATCATGCGTGTATCTTAATTCAAATTGGTTTAAGTATCTAGTTTTCAAATCAGGAGTATTCTTTTAAAGTTAGAAACTCATTTCAGCTATTGTAGACACTGTTTGCTTAACCTGGAAATCTAGACCAGGTTGGTAATTGATTTGAGGTTGGATATAATGCTCAAATGGTGTTTGACTCCACTTGCTTTTTCTAATATGGCATCAGAGTCCTCATTTACTGTTAAAGCCTCTTTGTTAGCCCACGTGCACGGTCGAATAGGAAAGCATGTTAAAGTCTAATTGGTTTTAGGTTTGATCTCTTATGCTGTTCAAGTCCACTTGCTTTCCAAACATTGGCATGGTGCATAAATCTTGAGTATATATGATGGGTTTGAAGAGTGAACCTGATGCATAACTCTCAAGTATGATTCAAACTTTTAGATTGATGATTCGCTACTGTTTTTATTTAATATTTATACATTTTCATTTTTTCTTTATAGGCATGCCCCGACCTCCAGCTGGAAAACGAAAGGCTGAAATTAGAAAATAGTCAATTGAGACGTTATGCAAGTCTAGATTATAACATGGTGCTTGCAGAGGAGAATGTAAAATTAAAACTTGAAAATAAGGTACTCAGAGTGCAGAATGATGCTTTGTGTGGGAAATTAATCAGTGATAGTGACAAGAAGCATGCATCAGAATAGGCAGGATGAGCTACCATTAGTATATGTGTGTCATGTTAATTTTATTTCTTACTTCTTTTTTTTTTGTACGTTGGATGATGGGTTATATGACGGGTTATATGACGAGATAGTCCTTCTTCACTTGTCCCAAGATTTGAACTTAAGATCTTCAACATGAAGATTCAAGATTTTAATCACTGGGACATTCCTTTGGGGACTTTATTTCATACTTGTACGCTCATTTGCTATGGGCTTTGGAGCACCACTGAATGTTATATGATTTTTTCTTTGATTACTCATCTTTTGATCTCAGTTTCTTGTCAAAGCTCCTTGCCAAGTAAAGTCTAATACATGTTTGTCTCCAAACGTCAAAGTCATAGAGATTAGAACAGAGTAGGCTGGAAAGCTATACTTCTGATGTATGCATGTTTGCGCTTTGGATTATAGTTACTGTCTGTCTGGCTATAATTTTGTCATACACAAGTAGAGTTGGTGTATGTATGGTACTGTGATTTGCAGTTATTGCAAATATAACTAATCTAAATACTGAGCTAATGGTTATGGATGAGATTGAGAAATTGCAATGCAAAAAGAAAATGGTTGAAGTGAAGGCAGAAGCTTTATGTGATAAAATGAGTGGCAATTGCCATGAACAAGGACTTCATCCCCATCGTTAATTCCCTATTCTGGTATGCTTCTTGTTCACTTTATCCTCAACCAGACAACAATAAGGAATGCTCAGAGTGCGTGAAGATGCTTTGTTTGGGAAAATAATCAATGACAATGACAAGAGGCATGGTGTAAGTCTAGCATGGTAAGTTTCCATTACTCAAGTCGATGTCTCATGTGATGTATTTCTCTTTTCCTTTTTCTGGTTTATACACTCAAATAAATTCCTTGCAACACGCTTTGTCTATCCACAAGAATTTATGCAATTTCTTGCCTTGCTTATTCATTGTCTCATCCCACTCCTCAAGTTCCTTGTACATGTTTTTAGCAGAAAGTTGAAGTCATGGAGATTAAGAAACCGAAAGAGGTAGTATTTTTTCAATATGAAATTGAAGCAATAGCTCTGACGCAGTATTAGATTATAATTATAGTCTGTATGGCCTTAATTTCAGTAGTATATTGCTCTCTTCTAGCAATATTTGAATTATTATTATGTATCTGTAGGTAACGTGATTTGGAAATAATGTGAACATAATCTATCAGAGTAGAGATTAGGATGAGAAAGTATAGTGGGAAAAGAATATAAGTCAAAGGAAATGCAAATGTTCTTTATGTCATAACATGGTAGACAACCATGAACAAGTTGGGACACATCCCCATTATTAACTGTCTATACACTGTTATGTTCCCTCATTAGTTTTATGCTTAACTAACAGAAACTGAGAACAGAGCAGCCAGTTGTTAATCCAGAAACTAGCTATCTTAAATTGTTGATGCCGTGTTTGAAAGACGGGATGACAACTTCTATATGTAGCCAACATTTTGTCTGTAAAAGGACGAAACACTTTTTCAGAGAATCAATTTAATTTGTAGTGCTAACTGAGATGTCTGAAATCATGATGTAATGTAGTTCCATCTCCTGTTCATATGTTTTCCTCTACTTCTGGGTTTGTCTCTTCGTATTAGGAAAGCGACATCTCACTCGGTAGCTAAAATTAATTTCTCTCCAACTACCATGAGATACTCCCATATCTTTGTTTATGTCCTATTTGTTGTGGTCTATATGGAAATGTCCAATCCCATTTACTAAGACTTTGTAGGAGTTAGCGCGGTTTTTAGAGTCCATCGGAGGGCGTTTTGGATGCGCGTTTTTTAGTATCCGCGCGCGTGCGCGGGTAACACTCTCAACAATCACGCGGTGACGGCTTTCATCCTCCAAGCCTCACTTCCACTTCCACAACTATAAATTAGAACTACGGCATCCTTTGCACTAGGAATAGCTCGACTCGACTTTTCTCTTTGTTGGATCAGGTGCGAGATTCTCCTCCTCCTTTCTTTTCAGTGTGATATAGCTGTTTTATTTTCTTGAATTGGTTTTTATGTTCTGCTCCTATCTTTTTAATATTGGTTCATGCTCATGGATGAGATACCCTGTTTTGCCTTCTATTGTTCGTTTACTGATTCTCCTTTACCCAATAAAATGATGTAAGTGGGAAATTCTGATTTGATATGTCAGAAATTTTCTGAATTTGTTTCAATTCTTCTGTATTCAAAGGGTAATCTCTGCAGGTAGAGTAAGCTTGTGGTCTGTGGGTTTGAGTAGAGTACTTTTTACATGCAATTTAAGATCCAATGCTACTTAATTGCAGCAAATTGATTTCTTTCCACTGCTGTTTTTATTGAAGAGCTGAAATCATGGCGGTGGGAACAGAAAGGAAGGTGTTTCTGGTAGTTTCCTTTCTTCCCCTATCATGGCTTGAATCCTGTTTTTCATGCAAACAACACATTTCCTGTTTCTCTTGGTCATGTTTGGTTGAGCAAGATTCAAGCCACATCTTTTTTTTCAATAGCCTTTTTTTTTTTTTTTTAACTAAGATTTTCACTTAACGTTTTTTTATTTGTGTACCTAACCAATTTAAACAATTTAGAAACTGAAAAAAAGGGTGACTCTGAAATGGCCAAGATTGGTAACCAGGCTAAGAGCAGAACTGAATTGCGCAAGAGAGTGTCTGGAGAAACAGAAGGCAAGGGTGAAACGGAAAGAAATCAAATGTGCTAAAAGGAGAAAAAGGAATGAATTCTTCTGGAAGGAAGATGCATGCATCCGACATGGTATTGATCTTACCCTTGGTATCCTAGATGCAGAAGATGAGGGTGACTTTGTCAGAGCTGATCATCTTAGGCAGTCTAGGAGGTTGGGTTCATTAAAACAATTTCAAGTTCTTATATTTATGCGTTTCATATATTAAATTTCCTTTTTGGATCAGCAAGTGAGACATATCTTTCTCTTTTTTACTTGCTAGTGAGTTGGTGGCCAAGCACATGGAAGAAACACAAAATTTCTTGAATGGTGCACTCAACTGAAACTTGGGCCAAACAGTCATCCTGCATATGTTGTTTCCTACCAACTTTGTGTGTTATGTAATATAATGGCAATGTTTGATTTCTATGTTCTAATTCTCTGTTTCAAGTCAGTTTATGTGGATCCTTGTTGTCTATGTTTGCTACTTCCTCTACAAATAAAGATGACTGTTTGCTTTTTGGTTATCTGTGCCTCGTGCTGTTATTGCCAAACGAGTAACTGACTTATTTAGAATATCCTCTCCCTAGATAAAGTGAAGCTAGATTGATTCTAAGATGGATGCTGAAAGCATAATTGCTCTGTTATTTCTTTAACCATTTGCCGCAAAGTATTGAATTCACTTCCCTTAATTTCTCGGATATAAAAGATTAAGTCAACATTTACAAGGTTGGATTGGGCAAATGATGTCCTCTAGGTGTTCTGAAATGAATTCAGGTATCTTCTGATGCTGTACCTGAGGTCAACATATAATGTGGTCCTTTTCTTCTTATTACAATCAATATCAAATACCATCCTACTTTGCTGCTAGTAACATGTCTCTTTTTTACTCCCTTGAAGAACTACTCAACCCAATTGAGTAGTGCTTCCAATGATGTATTGTTATTCTTCAATCCCCCGAAAGTGTCTGCTATTGCTATAGAGGGTTTACATAACATCCATAGGATTCATTCTCTGTTCTGATTGCTTGCCATTGAATATTGCGTTGGCTCCATTGAATTCATTATCATCGATATAATATTTTTGGTGGAAGAGTGTGAAAAATTTTGAGATTGTGATGCATGCTGTCTAATGAGGAAGGTAACTCAGGCATTGAGAAATGCAAACTTTATAGAGTAGCTATAGACACTAATTTTTTTTATTGACAATGATAATTCTTTATTTAAGATGGTACAAGTCTAACATGCATTGCAAATACAAAGATCATCAATCTGAAAATATATATGGGATCACTCCTGCTCTGTTCAACCTCTGCACATATTGCAGAACCTACATCCCCACACAAGCATTTGATCAAACACCTGGTATGCATGGCCAAAATAAGCTCCAGCCTTCCATTCTTTATTGCCACCAATCCCCAACATCAAAGAAACATGGCCAGCACTCACATGAATAAAGACTATTGCGACACACAACAGATTATGCACTGCACAAAGCCAGTTGAAGCAACTCAACAATGGTAGTTTCAGTATAGCAATACAATATTAAGTTATCTGCATCCAGTTCCTCATAGCATAAACTCCTCCCTTCAGTTGGTTAAGCATTGACTCCATCTCTTCCATCATCGCTTTTGTCTCTGCCAGATTGTTCTTCATGAGATTTGTCTCTTCTTTTTCTTCCTTTACCTTGGCTTCCATCTTCTTGAGAGCGGTGTTTGAAAATAGTGAATCGATTGGCCATCGTCATCAAGATTGTCGGGTCGCGCGCCTCTATTTCTCTCGCCAGACACAAGTCTTCGCAAGATTTTAAAGTAAAACGCCCGATGTTGACCCACTTTGTCAATCGAATGGAGATCAATCGTTCTGCATCGCTCTTCTCCACCTGGTTTTCCCCTCCATAAATACAACTCATTTGCGACACTCCATCGGGGCTCTCTACGAGTCAGTGCTCATCGATCATGATTTCGGAAAACAGGGTTTCTTATCAGATGTGGATCTGGGAAAGGCGGTCCCCTCAAATCCAAACTTCCATTCCCCTCGTAAGTGTCTTTCATTGAAGTTTTTCTTTTTCCATTTTTAAGTAAAGAGAATGTTCAAAATTAAAAATTACTATCACTCAAGAGCCTCCTTGGTTTTCGTTCTCCACCTTATGTTGTATTCCAGTCCTCATAGTTAGGCATTTTATTTGATTCCTTTTTCCTTTTTTTGGCCATTAAAAACTCTCAAATATTAAACTACATAACAGAAAGCATTGCATCTCACATAGGTTCTTCTAACAAACATGAAACGGAATAGATGAGTAAATAACGACAAAATAGAAATAGCTGGTAACACCGCCGCAGCACAATCAAGAAGATGGGGTCTCGTAACCTTGTGGAGTTGCACATCATGTTATGTTTAAGTCACATATATTTTTTATTATACTTAAATGTGAAATTTTATCACTTAATATGAAATTCGGTATTAACTTCAAGTTTTGTCACGTAGTTTAATAAGCCGTTTGTATCCTAATTCAAATTTGTTTAAATATCTAGTTTTCAAATCAGTAGTATTCTTCTAAAGTTAGAAACTCATTTCAGCTATTGTAGACACTGTTTGCTTAACCTGGAAATCTAGACCAGGTTGGTAACCGATTTGAGGTTGGATATAATGTTCAAATGGTGTTTGTGTCCAATTGCTTTTTCTAATGCGGCATCAGAGTCCTTATTTACTGTTAAAGCCTCTTCCTTAGCCCACGTGCACGGTCGAATAGGAAAGCGTGTTATAGTCTAATGGGTTTTAGGTGTGATCTCAAATGCTGTTCAAGTCCGCTTGCTTTTTCTAACCATTGGCATGATGCATAAATCTTGAGTATAAATGATGGGCCTGGAGAGTGAACCTGATGCATAGATCTAAAGTATGATTTAAATTTTTAGAACATGATTCGCCACTGTTTTTATTTACTATTTACACATATTCATTTTTTCTTTATAGGCATGCCCTGACCTCCAGCTGGAAAACGAAAGGCTTAAATTAGAAAATAGTCAATTGAGACGTCATGCAAGTCTAGATTATAACATGGTGCTTGCAGAGGAGAATGTAAAATTAAAACTTGAAAACAAGGTACTCAGAGTGAGAATGATGCTTTGTGTGGGAAATTAATCTGTGACAGTGACAAGAAGCATGCATGAGAATTTGTTGATTAAATTTCAATGAATTTCTCTAGAAATTGTGCTAGTGTTTGATCAATATGTTGTATTACCTGAAACTGAAACGATAAATTAAATGGAATTATTTAGGTAACCAAATCGAATCTTGAAGTTAATTTGGTTCGATATCTCAAAGGATAATCATATATCAGATAAAAAATTGATCCATTTTTTATGGTTTTGAACCGACTCACCTAACTCAATCTCCTTCACCTCCCTTATAAGCAAAAAGTCTGTTTACTTTAAGCAAAATGCAGAGAAGAGAAGGAGAAAAGTTGATATTATTTCAACAAATTAAATTAAATTTTTAGGCCACCAAATAATTTGATGGATTATAACAATTTTTTTTCTCTGTAATTCATATAGAAACGCATGATTTTTTTATTTATCCATGGAAAGCAGGTCTCCCATAGTAGAAATACAAAAGTGGGTCACACACTTACTGATTATTATTAATTCACAAACAGTACACACACATGGCAAGCTAAAGCCATGTCCTGTAATTAATTTGCAAGATGTTATTTAGATAGAACCACGTTTACCGGCAAGAAGGCGAAGCTGGGAGCCTAGATTTTGCTGGAGAAGGAGGCTGGTCTCCTGTCTCAGCTGTGCACACTCCGCTTTAATCTTTTCGAAGTGTTGTTTCATTTCCCTTTGTCCTTGTCTTAATATTGATTGTTCCTCGTTAATGGCCTCCATTTCTGACTGCAGCTCCTCCATCTTCGCCTCCAACCT